AACTAAAGAAAAAATAAAGAAAAGAAAAAGGCCATTACCTATTGTTCATACCATCTAAAGTGAGGAAGGCATGTCAACCACCAAAGCCAGCAATGATTCAAATAAATCTGCAGTTGGTCTCATCTTTCTTCTTTATGGCATAGCTGTAAGTGCGCAAGAGGGGCTTCTAAAAATTGCTAGTATCTCTGACCTATTAGAAAAACCTTTGCAACATTATATGTGCTAGGAGTCAGAGTAAGTATTGATCTTCCTAAAAGTTGTAAGGTAACTTGACATTTATAAGGTTATATTTAGGGCATCTTGCCAAAGCACAGCCACTCAACAAAACAGTCAACTCAGCATTGGCCTATGATAAAAACATTCACCTTGAATCTCAAAACTGAACTTTGCCACTGTCTCATCTTTATGTCATATGCTCAGACTGCTCGCAAGGATGCCTGCCAAGTGAGATTCATGTATACTATTTGGTGGGGTGGCATGCCGAATATGATAATGTAGGGAATGGGTGTTTTCATGGGATTCTCCTTTCCTCTCCCCTGCTGCCTGCCAATACCTGCACTTAGCAAAAATGCCTATTTTTGAGTGACTTATGTAGCTCCTTTTTTTAAAGTACTTTCCTAGTTTTTATTAGTTAATATCAATGCAATGATTGAATTTGAAAGCAAGAAAAGTGTTTTGGAAATGATAACAGACATAACTGTGCCTAGTGTCATGTAAGAAAGTATTGTCATTGAGATGCTAGCAGTTACATGTTTCAATGAAGATCCAACAGTTTAACTAGCATTTTTAAAGCACTTACCTAGGTTTTAGGAGTTTACAACAGCAATACCATTTGAATTTGAAAGCAAGAAAAGTGTTTTGGAAATGATAACAGACATAACTGTGCCTAGTGTCATGTAAGAAAGTATTGTCATTGAGATGCTAGCAGTTACATGTTTCAATGAAGATCCAACAGTTTAACTAGCATTTTTAAAGCACTTACCTAGGTTTTAGGAGTTTACAACAGCAATACCATTTGAATTTGAAAGCAAGAAAAGTGTTTTGGAAATGATAACAGACATAACTGTGCCTAGTGTCATGTAAGAAAGTATTGTCATTGAGATGCTAGCAGTTACATGTTTCTAATTAATAATATTTGTTAAGTAATTGAACAGAAATTAAGGGTAAAATAGCTCACTCAAAAGGAAATGGACCATTTAAGTAGAGTGAATGGATTACTTTGCCACTTCATTTCATTGCAATTTCTAAACATGCATTATGGATTAAACTAAATTGACATAATGTGAAAAATTCAACTTAGAGTTGATTCAATTAAAACTACAAAAAAAACAAAAGACAATCTACAAAAACTACATGTATAATTTTTCCTCAGCTAAAAATCAAATCATGTAACTCATGAGATATGAAATTTTAGTACTTCTACCAGCCACTTCTAAAGCATCCAAATAAACATATATAGCAGCAATATATATATATATATATATCAATTGATCAGAAACAGCAGAAACCACTCATGATCAGGTTGTTTTGACCTTATGCAGAGAAAATTGGATAAAAATGTTTAACATTGAACTATTATGAGATGGCAGGTATACACCTTTATAGATAGTAAAAGAAAACAAATTTTATACCTAAAGATTTAAGTTGAGGGTGTTGAGTACAGTGTTCACAATTCAGGTCCGGATCAGATCCAAACGCCTCAGGCCATCATCGTAGTCTAAACAATACCAGATATATCTCAATTCTCTTAATGAGGCACAAATATGCTACATCAAGACAATGAAAATGGGAAATAGAGTCAACATTTGAAGAAAAAGAAATAGCTAAACAAATTGAAACTCACAAAATCGAGAACCAAGCTTCAAAATCTGCAATCCAAGTGGTGGCCTTCAAATCATCGCCAGATCTGAAATCGAGCGAGAGAGAGAGTTTTCGAAATCGAGACAGAGAGCATGTTTGAAATCGAGCGAGAGAGTAGACTGAGAACAAATCTGAAGGAGTAGATTAAGAACTTTAATCACTCAGATTCAAATCTCCAAATCGCAAATCACAAATCTGGAGCGAGAAATAGAGAGAAATCGCAAATCGCAAATCAATTTTGCTCAGAATGAATTCGAGCTCGATAGAGGGAGAGGGAGAGAGAGAGAGAGAAATCGCAACTTTAGGGCTTTAGGATGTGGGTAACGGCGTTAGGCAATTAACACGCGGAGATTATGTTTAAAAGAAATCTAATACAGCGTTTTTAAAACGTTGTTTTAATTGAAAAATAGCGGCGTTTTTATAAACGTCGTAAACAAAACGTTGCTATATCCCTCTTTTCCTGTAGTGTATGTTGTTCTTGATAAATAGGACGTGGAAGGATCTACTCAATTTCTATGAAGATCAAGAAGCTAGAGAAGTAGATAGCAGCCCTATTTATGCAGAAACCGGCTACAAGTTTACAATGTGTTCTTATTTATGAAAAACTATTTAGCTGTTGTGATTTCATTTTAACTTTTGTCTGAACTTTGAAAATAAAAAAAAAACAAAACAAAAAACAAAAAAACAAACCAAAAAAAAAAAAAAACTATTGTCTCAACTTGAATAATTTGTTTGCTATTATGTGGTATTGCTAGGTTGATTGTGCTTTTTGTTTTGTGGTACAACTGAATTAACTCTATTATTAGCCATGTAATAATTTGTGTTTGAATATGTAAGTGTGCTTTAATAATTTGTGTTTGAATATGTAAGTGTGCTTTATGTGTAAATTGCAACAATGCCATTATTATTTGATGTGAATTGTTTTTTGTCTTTTTTTTTTATTTTTATTTTTTAAATATGACCTATTGTTGATGTACTTTTCAATGTGATTATTTATTTTTTTTTTATTTTTTTTGTGTAATTGCAACAATGCCATTATTATTTGATATGAATTGTTTTTTGTTTTTTTGTTATTTTAAAAAATATGACCTATTGTTGATGTACTTTTAAATGTGATTATTTTTTTATTTTTTAAATTGCATATTTTAAATATGCAATTTATTATCTAGCCTCTGTTACTATCTTTGTTGCTAATTCATAACCATGAATTGTATGTGATGAGGAAATTGATAAAAATGTAACTTATTAGAGAGTAAATATTTCTAAATTAACAAAAGAAAATTTCAGATTGAAAAAATGGTATTGCTTGAGTCACTACTTAACTTAATTGCATGGCTTGAAAGCATTGCATAGGAGAGCACACTCCGAACTCAAAAACCATGATATAATCAACTTCAAGTTATATTTGATTCATGAATTTAGATATAAATTTGAAAGAGAGAAGAAAAATATAAGTGAAATGTGAATGAAATGTAATTACATTTCACACACATTTTTCTCTTTTCTTTCTAAATCTCTACTTAAATTCATGAACCAAACATACACTACAACAAAATGCATCTTTGACGACCAAAATTGACGACTAAAAAACATTTAGTCGCCAAAAGTTATGGAATTGGTGGCAAAAATTTTTTTTAGTCGCCAAAAGTAAAATATTTAGCTACTAATTTATTTTAGTCGGGGAATATTCATTATTGGCGACTAAAAAAAAATTTAGTCGCTAAAAATGCCAGAATTGGCGACAAAAAAAAAACTTAGTTGCTGTATATTGACTTTTGCCTACTAAAATATTTAGTCGCCGAATGGAAAATAAAAAAATTATTTTTTTCTCTTTGGCGACTAAAGTTTTAGTCGCCAAAAACTTCTTTCAGCGACAAAAAATTATTTTAGTCGCCTTTAGTTGACTTTTTTCCAACTAAAATGTTTAGTCACCAATTGTTATTAAAATTTTCAAAGAATTTACACTTTTGGCACTAAATTTGGCGACTAAAACAAATTTAGTCGCCAAAAGTGTAACAATAGGCGACTAAAATTTTTTTTTGTCGGTATTAGTTCATGTTTTGGCTACTAAAATAAATTTAGTCGTCATTTGTTAATATTTCCCGACTAAAATTTCGTCACCAAATGTGTATAAAAATTTAGTGGTAAATATTTCATCTTGGCGCCTAAATTTTTGCCCAAATCTGTTAGTCTTCACACAGTTCTATTCTATCTCTCTCTCGCTCTCTCTCTCTCTCTCTCTCTCTCTCTCTCTCTCTGTCTCTCTCACCGAGAATTGATCACCACTGCCCCTCATCTCGCCATCGCAGACGACCACAGTTTTCGTCAATCTTCCACTGTCGAACATCGCCACCGCAGCTCGCCATTGCCTCGCCTCGCCTTTGCCTCGCCTCGCCTCCTATTGATTCGCTTCCGGAGGCTTACTTCTCTCTACATTTTTTTCTCTCCTCATCTGCTCTTTTCCTCACCAGATCGATGACAATCTCCCCACCCTTTACTTCTCTCTGTGTTTGATTTTTGTTGGTTCATGATCTATGTTCAAACTTATATATATATGTGTGTGTGTGTGTGTGTGTGTGTGTGTGTGTGTGTAAAGCTTCAGTGATTTCTATATGTGTGTGTGTGTAATTGGGTATCTGATTGTTCGATTTCCACACCCTAATGGCGGAAATGGAAATTTGAAGTCTGTATATGTCTGTAATTAGGTATATGATTGTTGTTTGATTTGGTTGTTGGAAACCTAGAGGAAATGCTTTTGTTTACATTTATCCAACTGTTGATTACCAGGTACATGCTGATTTAAAATCAAAATTGAATTATTTTTTATGTGATTAGAATGAAATTGAGCTAGGGCTAAATTAGAGAAGCTGTTCTGATTGTTGGATTTGATTATTTTGGATTGATTTGGGGGATTTTTGATGGAAATTATTGTCATTTTGGATTCAAGTGTTATTAATTTGAAAGAAGTGTTTTCAATTCTCTTTTCTAATTGATTTTGCAGGTATATGCTGATTTAGACTCTAATTTCCCCCCCTCCCTCCCCCTTGATTTAGACTCTAATTATTTTTTTTTTCCCCTCATTTAGACTCTTCTTGCCTCCATCGGTTTCATGATTGTGTTTGTTATTCCTGTGACTGTAGTACAAGGCCTTCTTCACCTAGAGGGTCCACAGAAAAGATTACCATTTTTGAGTGGAGTTTTAAAAAGGTAATTACTTTCAAAGTTCTACAAAGCCTTTTTCAGACTCACTTCAAAGCAAGATAGTCCTGAACTGCCTTGAGTTGAAGTGAAGCGTCAGCTAGATGCATCCTTGATGAATATTCTTAGTTTTTACTCTAATCAAAATTCCATTATTGGTTTTATTTTTGTATACTGTTCCCCCAACAATGTATCTGTTTTCAACAATTGAGGGGGCTATCTCTCGTAGTAGCAGGAAAAAGAGTGCATGCTGCAAAGTCCTGTACTTCTTAATCTGGAATGTTTTCTTTGTAAACGTTCTATCGGGGAAAGTTATTGAGCGACTGAGTGTTGTTTCTAGTCCTAAAGATGTAACCGCCCAACTTGCCACAGCAGTACCAACACAGGTATTTCTTTCTTCTTCCTCTTCTTCTTCTCTTGCTTTGATTTTGTTGCAGTTTCCAAAGTAGGTGGTTATCCCCTTGGTTTATTGGAATATACAATAATTTTTTGTTCTGTGACCCCTATTTTCTTTTGTCAAAATTTTGTATATTCCTGTGTTTCTTATTGATTTTTTATTTTCTGATGAACATACCAAGCAATTTTTGTGGACTCCGATTTCATTGTTTCCTAATTTATATATATGCATATATATATTGGGCAGTCTTTTTTCCTTAGTTGTCAATTATGGCTCTCCATGATAGGTTTATTAACGAATTTATGTAGTCATGCTCTTTGTTATTACTGTTGTTGCACATTTCTTTGGATGGGTAATTCCGAGTCATATGAATAGTTTTCTACTCCCTTTAGTCCTTTAGTTTGTATTTATATGTTTATATATTATATATTAACATGAAGCTTCATGAGTAATGTCTAACCTTGATAATGGATTCCAATTTTTTACAGGCAACATTCTTTATGACTTACATTCTATCTTCAGGTTGGGCAAGTTTGTCATTTGAACTTCTGCAACCTTATGCTCTTCTTTGCAACTTATTCTACAAATTCATTCTCAGAAACAAGGAGGATCCATGCACTTTATCTTTTCCGTACCACACGAAAATTCCAAGAGTTCTCTTGTTAGGGTTCCTTGGCTTCACCTATTCTATAATGGCACCTTTAATATTGCCCTTCTTGCCGGTTTACTTTTTTCTTGCTTATCTCGTGTACCGTAATCAGGTGAGCATTTTTATATTATCGATTGGATTCGGTTCTACATATACTTCTTTCATTTCCCTCCTTGTTCATTGAAGTAACTAGTATTGAATTATTATTTATGGATGTTTATGTTCTTTTGTTTGACTGAATTAGAAGGTCATGATTTTTATCGTGTTCATGATGTATAGTTTGCTTATGCTTTATTTATATATCTGTTCTTTTTTTTGGATGTTTTGCAATTTTGTTTGATTTTGCACTTTGAATTCTCACTTCAATTTTTTATTTATATTTATTTATTGTATTTTTTTGTGAAAAATCTGTGAAACTGTATTTGTTGTATCCTTTATGATATTAGTCATAAATTAGGAGTGCAGCTCCTTAGGTTCCGTATTTCTGATGATGGTTGTGTGGCAGAGATGCATTATGAAGTGATTATTATTATTATTTTTTTTTTGGCAAGTAAGAAGCGAGATTTTTTATTCCTCTTTGTATAAGTTTCAACGAAAATTAACTTTCATATGAAAGTAGGTTTGGCACTTCTTTAGTTGTGTGTGCTAATGTAGGGGACCTAACAAAATTCAGCATCAGGAAATGGCGGTGCTGCACACATAGTTCTGACCATTCTCCAGACCAACCTTCAGTCTGGCAACTGAGTTTTGTCGAAAGTAGAGATTTCATACAAATAAGAGAGAAAGTAGAGATGTCGTACAAGCAAGATATCATGTTCTATCCAATAAAGTTTTATTTATTGCCATTTATTTGGAACTTGCAACATCAATGTTTTATGTATTCATCTTATTTATTAATGTTATATATGTTATGAGAGGCTCACTATTTTTCCAAACGTTCCAAATCTGGTTGGTTTGATTTGTGGTTTTTGTCCATAGGTTCTTATTGAGTTGGATCGCAAAGATGAACTATGTGGGAGAATGGATGAGATGTATAAGAAATTTCCTAAAGCTTATTCTCAATTTCCATCAACTTCCAATGACTTGTGTAAAGACATTCCCCTAAGCCATTGCGAGGATAGAGATGGCAACACCAGACTTCAAGACCTAGAGGACATTAAGCCAGGTTTGGTCAACCTGATGCTTGAACAACTTTAGTTATCTTGCTTCAGACAAGTGTAAATCTATGTGTGTCTTTTTCAGGTAACCTACCCATCCAATCATGGATGAAGACTCTCTTCCTGGGCAGGTTCTACTCTGTGCATAACTTTGTGGCAAATCTACAGCAGGTAAAGAAGTCCATTGGGTTAGGTAGATGAGTTTGAGTTGGATGTTTGGGAATGTGATTAGTTTGTTTTGCTGAAGAAGTTTGTTCTGATCTTACATCTGGAAAATAGGCCTAAGGACTGAATTTAGGTACTTCATAGCACAACAATTTATGGTTTACTTAATTATTTCATTTGGTTCTAGTCAAACTTAGAAGTTAGAAGGGTTATGATCATGGGTATGGTATGATATTTCTATTTTGTCTAAATCTAGTTTTATCTCTTATTCAAATTGTGCTCATACTGTTACTTGTTGCCCTTGGTAATTCATAACAATTCAATTTTAGTTAGTGTCCCACAATATCATAGGTCATATTTCTTATTATAAGGTGTCACTCTACATGGATTGATTTAAGGAAATCCTGGCTTTTGTAACTATATTTGCATGTGCTTTGTCTATTGTCATTGTTAATAGAATGATCTTAGGACTGAAGTTCTTGGAATATGTGTAGACTGTAGAGGAGGCTATGACATCGATTGAATCAACATTTTTCTTTCGATTGACAACCTCATCATGCCTCATCATGACATTGTTCAAATTGTTTGTTAGGCTCTAATTTATTTAGCCATGAATGATATTATGTTTCTTTTTTTATTGTTATTTTTTATTTCAATTGATAGATTTAGTTTTCTTTTTCTTTCTATTTTTCCAATTATACCTTTTAGTTGCTGCCTTAAAAAGATAATAAATTGGATTTGGGTAGTCGAAAAAGGGCGTTTTGGGGACGAAAATTCAAAACAGCCCCCGAACCACCGTGTGACTCTCACGGACAGCTTCCCCATAACAAATAAGATTTGTGACAACTGATGAAATGTAATTCGGACCCATAGGTAGGGAGTTAGAGCCGAATACGCCTTAAACTTAGTTAAAAAAGGGCATTCCAGGGGTGAAAATTCAAAACAGCCCCCGAACCACCATGTGGATCTCACGGACAGCTTCCACTTGACAAATAGGACCTGTGACAACTAACGGAATGTAATTCGGACTCATAGGTTAGGAGTTAGAGCTGAATACGCGCTAAACTTAGTCGAAAAAGGGCATTCTGGGGGTGAAAATTCAAAATAGCCCCCGAACCACCGTGTGGCTCTCACGGACATCTTCTCCTTGACAAATAGGACCTGTGACAACTGACAGAATGCAATTCAGGCCCGTAGGTTGGGAGTTAGACCCGAAAACGCCTTAAATGTAGTTGAAAAAAGGCGTTCCGGGGTCTAAAATTCAAAATAGCCCCCAAACCACCGTATGGCTTTCACAGACAGATTCTCTATGACAAATAGGACTTGTGACAACTGACGGAATGTAATTTGGACCTGTAGGTTGGAAGTTAGAGCTGAATACGCCTTAAACTTAGTCGAAAAAGGGCGTTTCGAGGGCGAAAATTCAAAACATCGCCCGAACCACCGTGTGTGATATCCCTATTCCGTAATATGTTAATTAGTCCTTAATACGAATGTGATCATGTGTTTTGATATGATTTTGTGTGCCATTATGTGGTTTTGAATTTCTATCTGTTCACCGTAGGATTATTTGTTTGATTATCCGCTTTGGAAATTAAACTGAAGGCCCTATCGGCCACCGAACCCGAAATTGATTGCGCCATTGTGATTGGCATAATTTTTAGAGCCTACAATGAAAGTTAATTGAAAATTGATTTGGGTCAGATTAAATTGATTAAATTAATGAATTGGTGCCCAATTACTTTGTTACTATTATATTGGCATTAGTGGGATTTGTTGTGTAAAGGCACTATATCCTCTATTCTCTCTTCTTTGCTTCATTTGGCTGATTTGAACTCAAAGTTAGAGTGAGGGCCGGTTATAGAGAGGGAGGGAGAGAAGAATTGTGCAATTTTGGTCTTGAGGCTTGGAAATTTGGAGTCTAACTCAAGATTTGATCATAAATTGGGAAGATTAAGGCTCCTAGGTGAGTGAATTTGTGCATATTAGTTTGTAATGCTTGTGAATTCAACTTGAATGTTGATAAGGAACAAAAAATGAATTGATCATGATGAATTTGAATTGGTTTTGTTGATTTGGTAGTGTATATGCACATGCATGTAAGAAAGTACTTTGAAATTGCATGTTTGGGCATAAAAATGTATAATCCATGTGCAATTTTAATTGAAGCTCATGTTTTGATCACCTCTTCACCAATTAAGTTGTGAATGATGAGCATCTCCCACATGCATGTACAAATCATGGGGGTGTAAGGCTTGAATGTTTGAATTTGAGCATGTTGGTGTTGAGTTTAAAGTAATTTAAGTCTTGCATGTGATTAAATTGTGAAATTGGGCTCCATTGTATTATAATTGGGTGTTGGTATCATGTTAGTGTATGATTATGTAAAGTTTGAGCCAAAAACATGCATTTGGAGCCTTTAAACATTGAATTGAAGCTCAAGAACTTGATTTGGAAATTCCAAAATTTTGATGTCCGCTCGAGCGGGGAAACCGCCACTCGAGGGTGAAATTCGTGCTCTCAGCATATTTTGGAAACATGACTCCCGCTCAAGCGGGGAAGTTCATGCTCGAGCGGGGAGCCATAGAGAGGCCTTCCGCTCGAGCGCCAGAATGCGTGATCGAGCGTAACTTTCACATAATCAGTACTTTTGCAGGCCTTAGGGGCTCGCTCGAGCGGGGAAGTCCACGCTCGAGCGGGGACCCTGTTTTCTGAAATTTTGAAAATGCATTCTGTGTTTCGTTTTCTGTTTTCCTTCGCTTCTAAGTACTCTTAGGCATGCATTGAGCATTGTAATTGAGTTATAGAGATAAGAATAAAGCCTAAAGAGAAAAATGTGAATTTAAGAACGGATTGAATTGTTGGTGACCCTTTTGTGTTTATGGAATGTGTAGGGTCAAGCTCCAAGGCAAATCCACAAACCGATCACTGTGAGTAATATCTTAACAAGATATTTGAAACATACTGTTGTCCGATTGTTTACTTATGTGTAAGTTTATTAAGTTCATTAATCTGAATGGTGGACAACGATTGATACAAATGATTGGGCCGAAGGCCGATTGACATGAATGATTGGGCCGAAGGCTGATTGATACAAATGATTGGGCCGAAGGCCGATTGACATGAATGATTGGGCCGAAGGTCGATTGATACGAATGATTGACATAAATGATTAGGCCGAAGACCGATTGATACGAATGATTGACATAAATGATTGGGCCAAAGGCCGATAGATATAAATGATTGGGCCAAAGGCCGTTTGCTGTAACTGTTTCAATAATTGCTTATGTATCTTTTTATTGATATTATTCACTGGGCATTCGCTTACGCTCATTCATGTACATGTAGGTGAGCCAAGGGACATCCAAAACCAGCCCCGGTGAATTATGAGAAACAGTCAGAGTTTTGAAGAGTCAGCCTAAAAGTCTCACGCATGAGACTGTCTTCGCCCTTTCGTTCTCTGTTTATAGTTTTGTTTTGTTGGCGAAATCATCGGACCATTGTTGTATATAAGTCTTGGGTTTGACTGAGTTAAATCTGGATGATCCTGTATGTACAGTGTTTTGTATTAGTACATATTCTGATGTGAGTTATTAACATATAAATGTTTGAAATGTTATGGTGTGTATATAAGCACAGCTCTATGGACAAAGTTTTAAATTGCTTCCGTTTGACCCCTTTTACTCTGATGAGTTTTGACTTATTTGGTTTGAGACCGTAGGTAATCACACGATTACTGGCCGGTTATGGCCTTAACCCATAGGGGCGGGTTTGGGTCGTGACAGTGTGACTCTCACGGACAGCTTCTCCAGGACAAATAGGACTTTTTACAATTGACGGAATGTAATTCGGACCCATAGGTTGGGAGTTAGAGTTGAATATGCACTAAACTTAGTCGAAAAAGGGTGTTCCAAAGGTGAAAATTCAAAATAGTCCCCGAACCACCGTGTGGCTCTCACGGACAGCTTTCCCTTGACAAATAGGACCTATGACAACTGACAGAATGTAATTCGGACCTATTGGTTGGAAGTTAGAGCCGAAAATGCCATAAACGTCGAAAAAGGGCGTTTCGGGGCCAAAAAATCAAAACAGCCCCTGAATGATTGTGTGGCTCAAACGGATAGTTTCGCCATGACAAATAGGACTTGTGACAACTGACGGAACGTAATTCGGACCCGTAGGTAGAGAGTTAGAGCCGAATATGTTCAAGACTTAGTCGAAAAAGGACGTTTCGGGGGCGAAAATTCAAAACAGCCCCCGAACGATCGGGTGGCTCACTTGGACAGCTTCACCATGACAAATAGGACTTGTGAGATCTGACTGAATGTAATTTAGACCTGTAGGTTGAGAGTTAGAGCCGAATACCCCTTAAACTTAGTCGAAAAAGGGCGTTTCGGGAGGAAAAATAAAAATAGCCCCCGAATGACCGTGTGGCTCACACGGATAGCTTTGCCATGACAAATAGGACTTGTTAGAATTGACGAAACGTAATTCGGACCCGTAGGTTGGGAGTTAGAGCCGAATACGCCCTAAACTTAGTCGAAAAAGGGCATTTCGGGGGCGAAAAATCAAAACAACCCCCGAATGACCATGTAGCTCACACGGATAGCTTCGCCATGACAAATAGGACTTGTGAGAACTGATAGAACATAATTCAGACCCTTAGGTAGAGAGTTAGAGCCGAATACGTCTAAAACTTAGTCGAAAAAGGGCGTTTCGGGGGTGAAAATTCAAAACAGCCCCCGAATGACCGGGTGGCTCACACGGATAGCTTCGCCATGACAAATAGGACTTGTGAGATCTTATGGAACGTAATTCAGACCCGTAGGTTGGTAGTTAGAGCCGAATACGCCCTAAACTTACTCAAAAAAAGGCTTTTTGAGGACGAAAATTGATAACAGCGCTCGAATACGCCTTACATTTAGTCGAAAAACTTACAACACTTAGTTAAAAAAGCAACAACTTTATTAAAATAACATCTACATATTCTAATAATTGCCTTTATATATTTATAGGACGAAGAAATTACATATTATATTGTTTGTGTAGTTGGTTGGAATAAATATTGCATGATACACACACACACACACACATATATATATATATGTATATATTTTCTTTTATTTCCAAGAAGACATTTCTTGATTGTTCTACCTTAAATGCATGTTAGAACATGTTCCATATGGATGATTGAATTCATATTTTGTAACCAATTCTAATGTTTCATTTTTTGTTTTTCTTTGTAGATGGTTTTGTTGCGTGGACTTGTGGATAATATTGGTGTATGGAGAAGAATTTTCACAATCATGTGAACTTTTGGCAATCAAGAGTTAATGACTGTCGTGGTACATAGATCACCTTCTGTACCATTTGTCGGTGTACATATAGGACGTTTTGTCATGGTCCATAGAAAACTTTTGTCATGGTACATATATCACCTTTTGTTGTGGTACAGATTACGATGGTAATTTCTACCATGTCAAATGGTAATTTTGCTTGGTAGTAAATGTATTTTTTTTTGTATACGGAGGGCTTTGATTTTTGTATGACATATTTTGTATGGAATTATTATTTTAGTTGGGACAATAGTTGATTTGTATGGACTTTGATATTTAATGTTATTTATTTTTGGTATATGGATGCAGATTGTGTAATGATTGATTGTATGTATCATTTTGTTTTTATACGTATTACAGGTTGCATTGTATATAGACAGGTTGTGAAGAAATTATAATTTCACGATAAAACAAAATATCATGTTTTTGGCGACTAAACAATTAGTAGCTAAAAAGAAATTGGGAAAAGACATTTGGCGACTAAAAGTTTTGTAGCAAAAAAAAAAAAAAGACATTTGGTGACTAAAAGTTTTGTAGCAAAAAAAAAAAAGAAGACATTTAGCGACTAAAAGTTTAGTAGCCAAAAAAAAAAATAGACATTTAGCGACTAAATTTTTAGTAGCAAAAAGAAAATCAAACATTTGGCGACTAAAATATTTCGTAGCTAAAAACAAAAAACTAAATTATAAACACACTTTTGCCAACTAAAATTTTAGTAGCAAAAAATGTAGAACTTTAGGCGACCAAGTATTTAGCAGCCAAAAGAGGAATTCTTTGCCGACTAAACATTTAGTAGCCAAAGATGGGAACTTTCGGCGACTAAAATTTTAGTAGGTAAAAAGGTGGGACTTTAGGCGACTAAAAGTTTGGTCGCCGAAAAGGGTCTAATTTAATTTGATGTCCAACCTTTTGGTACTAAATATTTAGTCAGCAAATGAATACATTTGGCGACTAAAATTATTTTAGTCGCCATTAGCTTTCCCGACCACTCTGCAGCTACTAATTTTGCGACCAAAAAATTTAGTCGCTAAAGCCCTTCGGCGACTAAAAATTGACTTTTGGCGACTAAAAATTTAGTCGCCAAAAGTGAAAATTCTTGTAGTGATAGTCTTAAGAAAATTATTATCTTATAGAGAACTTTTTTTGAAAAAATCTTATAGAGAACTTAAGTGCACACAAAAAACATGTGTGAGCTTGTTCCTTTTTGTTTCTTCACACAATTGAAAAACAAAAAGAAAAAGAAAAAGAAAAAGAAAATATCAAACTCTTGCCCCATTTTTCTCTTGATCAAAATATTCTTTAATCAAGTAGGTATATGGTTTAGTTTATAATTTATTTGTATGTTTTTCTTTACTTATCTTATTTTGGGTACTAATTTTCTTAGCTAGTTCATATGCACATATGCCAACAGATAAGGAATCTATCTATTACTATACTTTACCCTACTCTATCAATATTCTTCCAAACAAGGTTTTCCAAAACCCTGGTGTATAGGGGGCGATTTTAACGAGATTACTTTGCTATCTGAAAGAACTGGTTGCTTAAGGAGAGAAAGAGGCATGAAAGATTTCTCTGATTTTATAGATAAAATGGAAATGGTAGACTTAACAATGATGGGGAGGAGGTATACTTGGTGTAATGCACATGATGGTGATAAATGGAGTAGGTTAGATAGATTTATGTTAAATGTTGAATGGATGGAATGGTTTAAATTCAAGTTGTGGGGATTACCTTGATTTGTATCACATTATTGTCCAATACTGCTGATGGAAGATGCGAGGAATTGGGGTCCAAAACCATTTAGATTCATCAATGCTTGGTGTACTCACCCTACTTTTTTTGGGGTTGTTAAACATGCTTGGGAAGAAGCATAGGTGTCTGGTTATGCAGGGTATAAAGTCTTCAAGAAGTTGCAATTACTCAAGGTTGAACTAAAGAGGTGGAACATGGAGGTCTTTGGGAATATAAGGACTAAATTGAAATCTGCTGAAGAGGAACTTCATTCGTGGGACTTGGCTGCAGAATCTAGATTGTTGCAAGAATTTGAAATTAAGAGGAAAAGAGAGATGAAATGTGAGGTTTGGAATCTGAGAAAAATGGAGGTAAGCTTATGATTTCAAAAAGCTAGAATGAATTGGGCTTTAAAAGGTGACAGGAATACAAGGTTCTTTCACATTGTAGTCAATAAGAGACAGAATAGTATCATGTTGGACACTATAAATGTAAATGGGACAACAGTGGATGATCCAAAAGAGATAAGACAAGCGGTGTACAATCATTTCAAGGAAGTTTCCAAAGAATATTGGAGGGACAGACCCAAAATAACTGGATGCTTTAATGTCATCCCACAATGTTACATTTCAGATTTATTAGAAAAAGAGTTTACAGAAGCAGAAGTGTGGAAAGTGGTAAAAGAATGTGATGGGAACAAGGCCCCAGGCCCGAATGGCTTCAATCTAACCTATATTCAAAAGGGCTGTCAGGTAACGAAGTCTGACTTGTTATGTTTTTTGAAGGAGTTCCATGAGAATGGCAAACTGGTAATTGCCTTGAATTGTTCCTTTGTAGCATTGATCCCTAAGCAGGACAAGCCAACAAGTCTAAATGAGTACAAACCAATTAGTCTCATTGGCTCTATCCCTAAGCAGGACAAGCCAACAAGTCTAAATGAGTACAAACCAATTAGTCTCATTGGCTCTATCTATAAAATTCTTTCAAAGATCCTAGCTAATAGATTGAAGAAGGTACTTATGGAGATCATCAATGAAGCCCAAACAGCTTTTCTGAGGGGTAGAAATATAATGGATGGTATTCTGATTGCTAATGAGGTAGTGGATTGGTAGAAGAAGAACAACAAAAAAGGTTTAGTTTTGAAATTGGATTTTGAAAAAGCATATGACACTGTGAATTGGAATCTTCTATTTGATATGCTGCATAAATTTGCTTTTGGAGCAAAATGGGTGGAATGGATGGAGACATGTGTTTCTATAACCAAAATCTCAGTTCTAGTAAATGGGTCTCCAACAGAAGAATTCTTTCCACAAAAAGGTTTAAGGTAAGGCGATCCCTTCTCTCCTTTTTTATTTAATATTGTTGCAGAATGGTTGAACATTCTGTTAACAAGAGCTAAAGACTTGGGCCTAGTGAAACGAACAAAAATTGGTGTAAATTATTTTAACATATCCCACCTTCAGTTTGCTGATGACACTATTATCTTTTGTGAAGCTGAATGGGAGAAGATAGTAAATATGAAGAGAATCCTTAGGGTT